GTGAAAAATGAAAAAAATGAAAAAATGAAAAGTTAAACTGCCTGATATTTGCAGTTTAAGAGGTTTAATTATTGTTGCATCTATGTTAAAATATTGAGTGAAAGCCAGTATATTTTTCTTGGCTATGCAGAGCAGGTCAGCTAAGTTTTATTGTTTATCCTTGTCTGTTGTATGCAGAAGAAAGGGGTATTTGCAAAATTTAAATACTTTGTGAAGTTGAAATGTGACAAGACAAATATATATACATTTTATATCTAACAATGTAGACAACCACCCCCCTAAAAAACAAAAAGCAAAGGCAAAAACAAAACACACACACTTACTTCAGAGCTCCAAACATCAATGCCCTTTTACAAATGACACTATATCCTTGATATAATGTTTCCTTAAACCATCCATGTGGGATTTTCTTTTGAAAATTAGATTTTTCCTATAAATTACCTAAAGGTAATTTGCCTTGAAAAGCAAACAATTTAATTGTTTGACTGTGGAAATGCTGATCATTTTAGTGCAACTTTTGCACTTAACTAGAAAGCAAACAAGCTCGTGCAGAATGTTTGTCAGGCCAAAATGGTATACACTGTAATCATACACTGTTGAGTATTAATGTGGCGGAGGTCTGATCCTCCGCCACATTAATAGGCTGTGGCGGAGGCTGCAGGGAAGGTGTGGTGCAGTGAGCTCAACCAGGGAGGTTGGAGGCACAGGTGAAGGTTATTCATCTAATGAGGTCTTTCCTTCTTTATAGTGATGTCAGACACCAGAAGGAGAGAGGTGTGTGTGAGGTCAGGTGAAAAGCTGGGACGCTGGTGCCAAAGCTGAGTGCTTCTGTGTGTAGCATAAATAAAAATTATAAACAACTGTCAGAACACTGTGTGGGGTCAGAATTATTCACAATTAATTATTAATTAAATTGTTTTGGTGATCATATGAAAAGTCACACTGTTTACCAGCCAGTGTTAATTCTGACTCACCACAATGTCCATATAGCATTTGTGGGGCTTAGTATGAAAAACATTGGATACATTATTAAGGGTTAAAAGTGGTGTTTATCCTTCTGACCAGAAAAGATATATACTGATATGTTTCTCCATATTCAATCCAACAGTTGATGCTCAAGTGCTCAAGGCACAGACATGAAATTCGGTGAAAAGAAACAAAGAAAAAGTAATTCACTCTGCCTCTTTTATTTTCTTTACTCTGTGAAGATAGGGGCTGGTATAAGACCTTTTTTCTAATCCATCCATCCATCCATTCGCTTCCACTTATCCTTTTCAGGGTCGCGGGGGGCGCTGGAGCCTATCCCAGCTGTCATAGGGCGAGAGGCGGGGTACACCCTGGACAGGTCGCCAGTCTGTCGCAGGGCCAACACACAGGGACAGACAACCATTCGCACTCACATTCATTCATGATGGTGGAATTGAACTCAGGACCTTCTTGCTGTGCGTCAACAGTGCTAACCACCATGCCACCGTACTGCCCTTTTTTCTAATGATTATTCTAAAGAAATTGGATCACTGCTGTAAAACTGCATTATACAGTAGTTACTGGGCATGATGTTACAATATAATTTTTTTGATACATGTGAAAAGGTGAAAAAAATGACCCAGAAATGTCAAGTATCTCAACAACAACTGATACGCGCACACTCAGACACACACAGACATACAGTCACAGACATAGCTTGTGTCCATTTAAATGAACAAAAAATGGATTAAAAAAAAAAGTAGCAATCCTTGCTACTTTGGGTAGTAAACAGCCACAACCAACTACACTAGGGCTGGGTATCGTCACTGATTTCTAGAATCGATTCAATTCCGATTCACAAGGTCCCGAATCGATTCGATCCACGATTCGATTTAATTCGATTTAAATCTGGGAAATTTTGACAGTCAGAAATATTATAATTCAGATCAGTACATTTACATATTTTTGTATCAATAAAAAGGAAGCTGACACACGCAAGACTTTATCACAGGTGTGAGCGTCACAGCAGAGGCCTTTGTGTCAAAGTAGCTGAGGATAAAACACAGAAAAACATGAAGGTGATTTTCCTGGCCTGGGATTTTATAAAAATATTCTGCAGTACATCAAAAACGAAAGAAAACCATTAATCAACATATGAACATTACCTCTGACGTTACAGCGGTTTTATTAGAGACTCACGGCTAAGCGTTTTGCATTTTGAATAATTTTAAAAAGTTTAAATTTGTTCAGTATTGAACGGCAGAAATGAGGTTTTCTTTTCGGAAGAATGTAAAAGGGAAAAAAACAGCGGCTGACAGCACTGTAAACAACAGTAGACTTTGCGTAACAAGCAAGCGAATAATGAAGAAAGGGAAACTGTTCTTGAAGTACAGAGAGAGAGAGAGTTGCGCATCATGGTGGAAGCAAAACAGTAAAAGTCAGAGTGAATTCATGACGATGTTTATGTGAAGCATTTGGATCTTCTTTTGCTGCTGGTTTGGTCAATATTGTTTGGAGAGAGATCAAACTAACAGCTTTAGAATCGGCTCATTAAGGGCGTGAACACAAAGCGCGGACCCGCCGACATATCAGAATCAGCGAGCTGTCGGCTTTCAGCTGTGAGAAAGGCAACATCTGATTCTGATCCGCGGGTCGCGCTGTGTGTTTAAGTCTATGTGCAGAATCCGTGTATCTGCTCTCATTTACTGTCTTAACTGTTTGGTGGTTCTTGAAATTTTGTGAGATGTCACCAGAGATTCTGGCATTTCGGGCAAAATAAATTTATATTAAAAAATCGATTCAGGATTTTAATGAATCGATTTTACGTTATCCAAGCCAGAATCGATTTTAATCGATGAATCGATTATAAAAACCCATCCCTAACCTACACCCATCCACTGCAGCTGACCCAACTCACACTCTACCACCTGAATAAGATACTTGCACTGTGACTCTCACTGTGACATCGTTACCAAAAATATACAAAGAGGTTATATCAGGTAGTTAACCAGTTCTAACATTTTAGCATGCAAATTAAGTTTCTGACTTTAATTTAAATTGAATGATATATTTATCGTTTTCATAATTAAATCCCAGCATAGCGTTTCCACAATGCTGATCCTTAAGTTCCCACCCACATGACTACATGGTATCAAAAACAACCACATAGAAAAAAAAACAGAACTTAATTTTTCACTCCTGTCTTTTAAGTGTAGATATTGACTCTGCTTGCAGATAAGGCTTTCTATACAACACATTTTCCTGCAGAGCTAGATATATATAATGAATCCAACATCTATTTTCATGTGGCTGCATCAGAAAACAGTGACATTGCATCTTTTTCTATCTAAAAGGAGAGGCACTTAGTCTTAAAACATCGCAAAGAAGTCTGTAAGAAACATTAGACCTGAAACAATGGCAAACTGTAAGCAGTTCACATAAAACACTCCTTTGTTTTTCCTCATATTGTATAAAATGTGCACAATGGAGAAAGAACATCAAGGAAAGGAAAGGAAAATTTGAGGTAAAAAAAATCCCAACAACAATCAAACAAACAAACAAAACTATTTCCACTACCACGCGCTATCTCATCCCTAAATTCTGCAGCGGTATGAATTCCATCTTTTCCACTGAGGGAATGTTGAAAAGGATTAGGCATCATCATGGAATGGTAAAGTCCAAAGCTAAAGACAGCACAGCTATCTGTACAGTGTCATGTCTGAGGTTTTCAAATACCATTTCATTAAACTACTGACTTGATTTTTGTCCTGATCCTGTGACTTACAGTGTTGACACCACCATCTGACTCTGAAATGCAACAACTGACAGCAAGTAATGGTCATAGCCTCCTGAGAACCTCTTTCAGTTTAACTTATTTTTGTGTGATTCCCTGCCTCTTTGGAGCTAAATTGGAGTGGCCAGGATGTCCTCTCTTGAGAACTTAGTAGGGTAGCTCAAATAGGTTAAATCAAATGTCCATTACAAAGGACATAAATGAATAGGTTGGGTCTCCAGAGAATATTGTAATATCACAAATGATTTACAATGCATATGACATATTATAAAATATCTTGTTATAATGCAGAGTTGAAAGTTGGAGTTTTTTGGTTAATTGTTTGACTAAATAAAGAGATATGTTAATTACAATTTTCTTGGCCAATTCCAATTTCCTATATTTTTATGACGTTGATGCATGTGCAAATGTGTATTTGCTTAGGCCTTTAAGTTCATCCTTTGTGTTCTTTAAGTTCAGCTGAATTGCTTGTTGTTATTAATTCGAATTCTGAACATGTGGCTGATATTTTGTGAAACTGTATAAAATAACCACAACAAATGATTAGTATTATTATTATTCACATTAAATAATAATGTGAATAATGTGTCCATCAAAGCCTGTCCATCAAATGGGAAGGATATGTATAGGTGTAGTATACACTACAGTTGAGCATTGGGTCTCATGGCTCTCATTGACAAGTGCATTAAGCAGTTATCTGTTAAACTCATTGAGCACTACCTGTTTGGCAGCAGGCACAACTACAGACTAGATAATAAATTAGTGGAGCATTTAAAAAAAGAAACAACAACAACAAAAATAAACTGAATCTTGTCTAGGATAACAGATCAGCAATCACAAACAACAAGAAACGAAGCAGCAGAATAAATTAGTATTCATTACTAAGAGGGTGCTATAGCTCAAGAGGCAGAGCGGGTCATCTGTAAAGCAGACGGTTTGCATTTTGATCTGTGGCTGTTCCAATCTGCATGCCAAATATCTTTGGGCACAATACTAGCACTAAGTTGCTCTCCCATGGATCTATTGGAGGGAATGTTAGATAGAAAGCACTTGCATACAAAAAGCATGGGAGACAAGTAGAAGTATGAATGGGTGAATGCGGTAAGTTGCATAACTACTATATATGCTTTAAATGCTCGGGAAGAGTAGAAAAGCGCTACTTGAGAAGAACCAGGTCATTTACCATTTCCAAGTACACCAAGTTATTACCTCAATATATATATATATATTGTATGGAAAGTTGCTTCAGGATCAGTATGGTGGTGTCAGTAGCAAATCAAAAACAGACACTGTAAGACATTTGATATTGACAAAAAGTCTGCCTTTCTGCTACAAGTGCTTTGATAAAGAGGATACTTTTCTATTCACATTCAAATATTACCCCCTTAAAGCATTCTCCTCAGATGTTCTCCATAACTTAAGATCTCCAAGTTAGGATTACAATAAAGCATTAAAACACACACAGTGATGCTGTAAACTAAAGCCTTCAAAGAAGATGATAAAACTCATCACAATTCCTCAAAAATGCATTAAAAAGGTTTGTTTAAAGCCATGCTAGCACCATTCATCCTTTACTGCCTCCTGGTAACACCTGGGTGGCCTGATGCCAGAGCCTGGGCTGGTGCTACCCCCAAAGCTGATGTGGTACCCATTGGGCATACCAATGTTCTGTTGTTGAGCAGGAGACAAGGCTCCCATCATGTGAGGCAGTGCGTTCCAAGAGGAGTGTCCAGCACAGGGGCTGGGAGACAGCGCCGCCATATCCTGGAAGACTTGCAGCTGGTCCCGGAGGCTGCCATAGAGGCTACCCAGAGCCTTGCCCTGGCCCAGGAAGGGCTCTGAGCTGATACGAGTGACGGGGCAGGGGAAGTGGTGAGAGCCGCTGTAACGGAGGCCATTGTGCTCTGAGAGGCCACGGCTTAGCCGGCTGGGACTCAGAGAGGTCTGGCTGGACACAAAATGCACAGGAGAGGAATTGGCAGTCTTGTAAGCCACCCCGGGTCGCGGGGTGTGGGGGATCTTGGGGAGCTGTCGACGTCCACGGCTTGACGTGCTAGTATTGGAGCTCAGTGCCACTGGGCTGCCTTTAACCCAACCACTGCCCTAGATGAAAATTGGACAAGCAATTTGAAATGATGAGGAAAAAGAAAATATGCCAGAGAAGAAAGGAAAATGGGAAGAATATGTATAAGTACAGAGCCACCCAAGGGAAGAAAAGAAAAGAAAGACACCAAAATACATGTACATGGTAAGATAACAGCAAACATAAGAGGGACAGAGAAGACAAAAATAAAGAATTGGATAGATAATCACAGAGGGACATGATGAAAAAGACAAAGTGGGAAGAAAAGCGAAAGGTCATGAGAGGCTATACTGAAAGCAGACAGAGAAGAAAGCACTAAAAACATGCAGAGCAATCACAACAGTCTGCATTTAATTTCTGCTTGTCTATATCACACATTTGCTGATGCTCTGTAATATACAGTGGGGCAAAAAAGTATTTAGTCAGCCACCGATTGTGCAAGTTCCCCCACCTAAAATGATGACAGAGGTCAGTAATTTGCACCAGAGGTACACTTCAACTGTGAGAGACAGAATGTGAAAAAAAAATCCATGAATCCACATGGTAGGATTTGTAAAGAATTTATTCGTAAATCAGGGTGGAAAATAAGTATTTGGTCAATAACAAGTTCAAACAGGTGCCATTCATACAGGTAACGAGTGGGGGACAGAAAAGCTTCTTACAGAAGACGTTACAGGTCTGTGAGAGCCAGAGATTTTCCTTGTTTGAGGTGACCAAATACTTATTTTCCACCCTAATTTACGAATAAATTCTTTACAAATCCTACCATGTGGATTCATGGATTTTTTTTTCACATTCTGTCTCTCACAGTTGAAGTGTACCTCTGGTGCAAATTACTGACCTCTGTCATCATTTTAAGTGGGGGAACTTGCAAAATCGGTGGCTGACTAAATACTTTTTTTCCCCACTGTATATGGTAATGTGACAAAAAGCAGTCTTTTATTCTGCTTTTATTCAAATATATCGAGTCAATTCAACTTGACTTAAGTAATGCAAAGTTTACAGTGGAACACATATTCACTGCAAGAGTAAGTGTCTACAGGCATCTGTAAAGTATGGTCATGGTTTGGGGTTGCATTTTAGCTAATGGTGTTGGAGATCTTGTTAAAACTGATGGAATTATGAGAGCAGAAAAGCAGAGCCAGATTTTGATGCAATTTGCAACAAAATCTTAAAATCTTCTGAATGGCAAGAGCGTCATCTTTTAGCATGAAAATGGTCCCAGATATACTGCCAATGCAGTAAAAGCAAAGCAGGACTCCATGCCTCCACAGAGCCTGGACTTCAACAATACTGAAGTGAAGTTTGATCATCTTGGAAATAACTGAAAAAAAAAACAGGTCAAGAAAGCTGGAGAACTATTCCTGAAGAATACTTAAGAAATGAAAAGAATCAAGTTTTGTAGGGAACATTTAGACATTAGTACAAAATACTGAGTTCTAAGCTTGTTTTAACTGTACAAACACTATTTTGCCATATATACTGTATTTCCATTTTTGTATGTTTCAATAAATTACTACTCTTATTTAAAATTTTCTTGCAAAATATAAAGAAATGAAGGGTGGCTCAAGACTTTTACTATATATTGTATTTATATTAAATGCTGATATTGATAAGTTAATATTTTTCACCGGCACTAATTGACTTGTAACACCCAGCTGAAATGGAAAAGGTTCCCACTTATCTAAAATACATGCACAGGTTAAGTGTATATGATGTAAAAACTGTCAGATAACACTATGTGGATAAATAGTGTTATGCTTTGCTATTCTTTAAAGTTTCCAGTTTGCATTGTTTTTTTTTCTCGCTTTTCTTAATCTCACTTATCTGTTACCTCATTGATTCTCACTGTGTTCTGCACTCTTTCATTCATCCTTCTTACCAGTGGAAGTTGTGGTAAGAGACTTTTTCAATGTAAACCTTTATTTTTCAGATTAAGTCAACTAATTTATTTTCAAATTGCTCTAAATTCCACCATTTCATGTCCTACTCAATCAGATCAGCTTGTGCCTCTCTTGCTTTTAAGGGAGCAATACAGACGTACTAGACAGCACGTCTTTCATATCAGGCTCTTTTAATCACATTTTTACTTCACTTGAAACAATCTATAAATGTACCTTCACATATTTTAGCTAAAAAAAAAAAAAACTCTGCAGTTTACTTATTTTAGTTTCTTCCTGTAAGTCCATTACCTGCATGAGGCGCACTAGGGGTTGGGTTCAATGTCTGTCACACAGCAGTCAAGGTTGGGGGCCCTGCTTGTCCAATCCCTGGCTATCAAGGCTGGATATTGGAACACAAAATGTCACCTTTCTGGTGGGGAAGGAGCCTGAACTAGTGCTAGAGGTTGAGAGATACTTAAATATATTTGGGGTCACCTCAACGCACTGCTCAGGTTCTGGAACCAGTCTCCTGGAGAGGGACTAGGCTCGATTCCAGTCTGAAGTTTCCCTTGATGAGTGACAGCAGGCTGAGGTGGGTATTATCATTTCCACTTGGCTAGCTACTGGTACATAGGGTTTTAACGGTGGATTACAGAGCTGTTTCCTTGTGCCATTGACTCAGGAACAGGTCTAGACTGTCGTTTGCACTTATGCAACTGTTCAGAGTACCCAGACTTCTTGGATTCACTAGGTGGGGTGCTCAATGGTGCTCTATCTGGTGAATGTCATCCTACTGGGAGACTGCAACACTCATGTGGCAAATGACAACAAGACCAGGAATGGCACTATGATCGAAAGAATGAGATCACGGGTACAAACAGCTTTCTCTGAAAGGTAGCTGGCCTCTCCCTTAGAAATAGAGTGAGGAGTTCAGCCATCTGAGAGAGGCCCAGACTAGAGCTGCTACTCTTCCACATCAAAATGACCCAGTTGAGGTGGTTTGGGCATCTGTCAAGAATGCCTCCTGGGCACCTTCTCTGTGAGTTTCTTCGGGCATGTTCCACTGGAGGCAGAACCAGGATATGCTTGAGAGATTCCATCTCTTAGCTGGCCTAAAAACATCTTGGTGTTCCCCAGAATAAGCTGGAGAAGGTGCCTGGGGAGAGGAATACCTGGGCATCTGTGCTTAGACTCCTGTCCCCACAACCCAGTCCCGGATAAGTGGAAGAAAATAGATGGATGGACAGACAGGCAGATGGACCCAGGATGATAGCACACTTTTCCTCCTGAGTTATCAAATTAGATTATTTAACATTAACACCAAGCTGGATAAGGCATGTTGTATAAATGCTGTATGGCTGTCTTCTGAAAGTTGATCCTACAGTCAAATATTCCTGTGGTAACATTGACTGTACTTGTGAGTATATGTTACGAGAAGCTGGACTGTGTAATACTCTAGAGTGTGACATATGTCCATGGCTAAAAGAAGTGAGTTGCCCAAGCCATACTTATCATTGAAGACAGGGGCCAAATCATAGGTATAAAACAATCCAAACCGTATAGTTGCATTTATAAATTCTTTCAAAAGAAAGTAAAAATGGGGATAAAAGAGCCTGATTTGAATAAAAATAGAAAAATATATTATCCTACGTGTTGGCCCCCCTAAAGCAACAAATACCTGAATCGTCATTATGGAAAGCCCAAGTCGATTTGAATGATGAGTAGGAGGAGAAATGGTGGAAAATGGGGGGATTTGCAAAAAAAGAAGACGCCTTAAGCTAAACTAACAAGAATGACATTAAAAAATGAAAGCTCAAAGATGACCTTAGTCAAAAAGAACATGCTTGCCCACCTGCTTGTTGCTGGTTTCCAGCCCTTCACTTGGAGAGCCAGCACAGCTGGCGGTGGAAGATTTCGAGTGGCACTGTCCCCGGCTGCAATAGCGGTCACAGGAGTAGTAGCGCTGTTTGTCTGCAGAGGAATGATGGTGTTTCCTTTCATGGGAGCGTCCACGGTCATGGGCTCGCTCTCTGGAGGCTGTTGTTTCCGATGCTGGCTCACCCACTGCAGCTGTGAAGGAAGAAAATATTGCTGGGTGTTTCTGACAAGTCCTAAGATTTTCTTACTCCCCAGTGTTTAATACAGTGTTTCAGTAGGGGTAAAGATTCTAACAGTCAAAATCTTCCTGATCTCCTCAGCAGTGTGTCCCCCTCCATGCCAGAGAGCTAGCAATTATTTCCCCCCACTGTACATTAAAATCAAGAAGCATTTTTTGTCAAATGTTTTGTTGAAATCAGAGGTTTTTATAGGTGACTTAAGTTAAGTCCCTAATATTCTTTCCAATAATGTGTTTTATTGTTTTCCCCTTGTATTTAACTATATTAAACTGACAGTACATGTTATATTTGAAGTAGTATGTAAGAAGCGGGTAAGATGCTAGAGCAGGGGTCCCCAATCCAAGTCCATGAGGGCCGCTGTCCCTACAAGTTTTAGATCTCACCCTGGGTCAACACATCTGAATCACATGATTAGTTCATTACCAGGCCTCTGGAGAACTTCAAGACATGTTGAGGAGGTCATTTAGCCATTTAAATCAGCTGTGATGGATCAAGCACACATCTAAAACCTGCAGGGACCCCGGCCCTCGTGGACTGGGATTGGGGACCCCTGTGCTAGAGAGCTGCCCTTCTTGTCAAAAGGTGTCAGAATCTGAAACCTTTGATTCAGAATATGAATGAGTATCTTTTTACATTTGAACAGGTAAATATCTGTCAAGAAGAGATATTTCAGTGACTATGTTGCAATGCAATCTACTGTAAGACAGATGACAAGAGTCTGAACTACTCTGGTGAGCCTTTAGTCAGTGCAAACCAACTGCCACTAAGCAGCAAAAAACTTATGGCAAAGTGGAAACGCTAACCTGATGGTGGCATCGAAGAAAATCGGAGGATTTCTTGATTGTTTATTTATTCATTTATCTATCGTTTTCCCGAACTGCAAATTGCTTTGTTAACTAGTAAAAGTTGCATTTCCTGCAAAAATACTGGGTGAATGCCATGTAGTGGAAATCATGTGCCAAAAACAGCTGAAGAAGCGGAACTATCTGCTTTATTTCAAAGGGTACACTGAAGAGGAGCGAGAAAGAAAAAAAAAAGCAGAAGGAGCGAGAGCGGGAAAGAAATGCGGCAACAACCACAAGTAGGATTCAAACCTGTGCTGCCCACTTCAGGGCACCTGCTCATCTCAGTGAGGCAAAGACAGATTTCCTATCCTGAAACAAACGTAATTCATGGGAAAACGGTAAACGGTATGAAAAAAAATTATTTTACCGTGACCGTCAGGAGTGTCTGAAGATATTGGCACAAGGCTCATGTCTCTGGAGTCCCCGGTTTAGAAGATATGACGAGTTGAAAAGTTAAAAAGCTTAATATTTAAAAATGCATAAAAGTTATGAGCACCAAAAGATAGAGCTGCAGGGCTCTAGACTAACTTTTTCCATGGTTACACTGGTGCGCCTAACTTTTTTGTTAGATGCAGATAGTCATTCATATTCTGAATCAAAGGTTTCACAAAAGTTTAGGTGCACACAAATTTTTCAACAACATCGCTTAACACTGTAGTTTTACATGTGCACTTTAAATTAAATAAAATAATACAGGCAATATCGATATAGGCAATATCGATGTTTAAATTATTAACTAACAGTCTTGTCAACACAAAGTTCTTTATTTGGAGCACCATTCTACAAGAAAGATAAGTTACTGAAAGTCCTTGTTCTTAAAGCGCTTTGGCAGTCTTTGGCAGTAGTAGACATTGTAGACAATGTTAAACTTAATCATCATCTCGGCCTCTGATGATCTGTTTGCTGCTGCCTGCCGCTGAAAGGGAGTGGGGAGAGGGGACACTTGTTTTGCAATTTGGCATCATTTTAAAAAAGTTTACATTTCTTCGCTATTAAACAGCAGAAATTTGGCTTTCTTGTTGGAGGTCATTTTTGGAGAAAAACAAAACAGCAGCCGACAGCACTGTACATGACTTGTGCTTAATAATCGAATGAATAATGCAGAAAACAGAGATTTGAGAAAGAAAACTGTTCTAGAAGTACACTGAGAGAGAAAAAGCACTGTGCAGCAAGTGTGATTTTATTGTGGCGGAAGCAAAACAGCAAAAGTAAGAGGGAATTCATGATGATGTTTATCAAATGTGAAGACAAGTTTTGATCTTCTTTTGCTGCTGCAGTCAATTTTGGTTGGAGAGTGACAAAACCTGCAGCATCATAATCTAGCGCAAAAAAAGACGTAAACACAAAGCATGGACCCGACGCATCAGAATCAGTAAGCTGTCAGCTTTCAGCATCAACGCGTCCATGTACATGTCGTCAGGTGATAAAGCTGACATTTCACTGATGTGTCGGGGCCGCATTCTGTGTTTACGTCTTTGAGTGGAATCCGTTTAGCTGTTCTCATTTACTGTTAGCTTGTTGGTGGTTGTTGAAATAGTTTTGTGAGGTTTAAACTGAGATTCTGGCCTTTCTGGTAAAATACATTTATATTTAAAAGTTGATTCAGGATTCAATGAATCGATATCACTTTATTCAAGCTGCTCACCTCTCTCTATCCGCCTGCACTTTCAAAAGTACACACTGACTATCTCTGATTGGTTTAAACCATGTTATGGGCATAATGTGTGTCTGCTGTTGACCACGCAGAGACTTCCAGAGTTGCGGAGACCTTTTTTTGTACTAAACAGCTGGTTGCACCAGTGCGACCTAGGATTTTTTTTAGTCACACCATTGAGAAATTAAGTCGCATAAGCGACCAAATTGGTCACACTCTAGAGCCCTGTAGCTGGCATTAGCAGAAATAGTAGAACAGTTTCAAATTTGAATGGTGAAAATAGCACAAAAACTGTGGGAGTAGTTAAGTGTCAAAGATTAAAGAAACAGGAACTCAGTAGGTTGAGTGAACCTATTGACCTTCACCAAAGTGATGCTCACCCAATGAGCTTACTTAGGTGATGTTAACAGAAAACATTGTGATTCCACTGACATGCAGATTAGACTATGAAAGTCTGGATATCTGGAATACGTGTCATTTTCTGCTTCTAAGCTTATTTCTGCTTATTTTTGACCCAAATGTCTGTCTCCTTTAACTTGCATGTTAAAGAAACAAGACTGCCTTATTTCATCTGTGCAATACTATCAAAATAAGGAACACATTTTAGTAATGCCGAAAAACTAGGATGTGAGGGAGGCTATATGTCTTCCTTTTAAGCTTCACTTTATTGGCTCTCTATTTTAAGTCGTTATCATTTATCGTAAATAAATCCTAATAAATCTCCCCAAATCCTTTTGCTCTCAGACTGCAGGTATACCTGTAGTTCACAGAGCATTCCAAAGTAGAATGGGAAGCAGAGTCTTCATCTTGGACACTAAGATTGCTGGGGATCACAATCCACTGTGCACTGCTCCTCCAGATCCTTTGTTTCACCGCTTTTTTATTCTCCTACTGCTCTAGAGGTTTTTTCTGGTTAAAAGGGACTTCTTCAACCCCATCGTCACCCAAGTCCTTGTTCTTAGTGAGTAGCTGGGGCTCTTGCTAATATTGCAGATCACGCGTCCTATAATATAAAGCCCCTTAAAGGAAACTATTGTTGTGAGTTGGCACCATATAAATGAATTGCAACTGAACTAAAAACAATCACATAAAATTATAGGATAGCATGATGGGACAGTCCAATACTAAGTGGGACTAGATAATACTGAAGTGGGACTAGATGATACTGAATGTCTTTGTACACTGTGATTTTGATAGTGCTTGTGAATAAATTCTGACTGACTTTACCAGCAGAACCGGGAGGTTGACCTGCCAAAGGTGCATCTAAAGACCTCTGTCTGTTCTCTCTGTCTCGGTCTCTACGGTGGTGGCAGCGACGGTGATGGTGGTGGGTTCTCTCCTGGCTTGGTTTTTCCAGGGTGTAGTCTCTTAAATTGACCTCTTGGGGCCGCTGTGGGGTCACAGTTGAGGCTGAGCGCTTCATAGGGCTGGCATCAGGGACAGACTGAAGGAGAAAGACGGATAGAGAAAGCCAGTCAGCAATACATTTTAGAGTTGTTTTTCCCCACAGCTTCATGTAACAACTGCATCTAATTATTTAATCCACACAGTAATTGCCCACTGCTTAATCTGATGAAGAAAATACATTACAGCACAAATGTAATCATTTGTGTTGTGTTTTAGAATAATTGACTGTTGTCCCACATGACACAACAAAGGGAGTGAAAACATTTTACATTTAGCTAAAGAATGCATCAGTATTAGGAGCACAGGGCCAATCTGCCCATACAAGTCTGTCTTAGTAAATAGTAAGTAAGTATCAAGATGAGATAAGATAAGATAAGATAAGACTTTATTGATCCCACGACGAGGAAATTAAAGGCAAAGGACCAGGTGTTTCACTCATACCAGTAGGAGCTAATTCATTCAGCTGATTAACCTATTTTAAGATAGAATTAGTTTCAGGTTTTATAACATTCTGTAGACTTTTCACATATATGGAAAACCCAACTGAAATGATCTGTAACAGAAAATTTATTAAAAAAAAAGTCAAAATTAATAGTGAAGGGTGAATAAGACTTTTTAAGAGACATCTTCTAGTTCCAGAAAAAAAACCCTCTGTATTTAGCAATAGCTAAAAAAAACAAACAAACTGATTTTCAGAGGTCAGAAATAACAAAGTACACTAATGTGTAAAGTACAGATATCTAAAATTTCTACTTAAGTAGTTATTTTTTTGACTACTTTTTTGCTTTTACTCCCTACATTTTTAAACAAATATCTTTACTTTCTACTCCTTACATTTTAAAACCAGGCTCATTAATTTTGTTTTAACACATTTGAGGGGTATTATCATTTTGTCACTGCAAGTCTTCAAACATCAAACTAATTTGAACCTAAACAGTAACAAATGAATTGCAGTCCTGTTCATTTATTAATTAACAGGGGATGTTGCATTAAAAGAGATGACATGTGCCAAAGTCAGAGGTGTCAGTGTTTTGTTTTTTTGTTTTTTTGTTGGTTTTTTTGCTTCAGGTAATTTCAAAGGCAACGTTTCTATCAGCTCAACAAATATCAGCAAACACAGAAACTCTTTGTGTGCAGTTTGTCTCACAATGTGTAGCTAGCTTTAGCTAACACTGTTTTTTAAATGAAGAGATGGAGCTAAGTTCAGTCAGAGATGGAGAAAGATACGAAAGACAGGAGAGGTGAGGAAGAAGAGAGGTTATACTATATTTAAAGGTAAGGACTGCTCACTGGTATTTGATAAACTAGAAATGTAAGGCTTATATTGTCACGGCGGGGTGCAGAAGAAGAGGTAGACCCAGATGCAGACATGGTGGAGACAGAACTAGGTTTCCAAAAATAAAGCGAGCCTTCATTGTGGCTGATGGCATGACAAAAACACTAGAGAACACAAAGGAGAAACTAAGGAGACTGAGAACACTGTGTAAACTAAAAAGACTGACACTCTGTGGAAGAACTATGAAAAAACTATGAACACAGAGTAACTAGGCAGGCTATGAAACAGTGACACAATAACGGAAACTATGAAAAGATGAGGTGAGGATAACAGACAATCTGACACTGACTGAGCAGAAACACACGGATTAAGTACACATAAGGAATGATCAGGTGGGGAGGAGGCAACCCCCCCTCTGTCCCCTTCACGCCGCCATCTTCCTCATGCCAAAATACAAACAAAGGCTGAAACAGGAAGTTCCGGTTCAGAGGAAGGTCGTGCGCTGGACGGATCAATCGGTGGCCGCGTTACAGGACGCACTCGATGACGCAGACTGGGGCATGTTCAGAAACAGCTCCGATGAT